TGCGTGCTCCCTTCGAGGTCCTCTTGATGTCCAGCCACTTGTCTTCTACCTATGTGTTCCTCTTCCATCTAGCAGCTTCTGTCTCGTCCTTGCTGGAGTTTTGGGTTTTTATAGACCCAGGATGGGGATGTAGGAGACCAGGGTGGTCTTGGAAAGCACAGCATTTGGGCGGGAAGGCAGAAGTGCTTATCCTCACCTAGATTTGTGGGGGTAGAGCCCTAGCTAGGGACCACACCCTCCTCTACCCAGCACTTCCTTTCCCCCATTCCATATCATTTAAAGGGACCACGCTCTTCCCTTCCCAGCACTCCCATATCAGAAGCATGTGGTAGAAACTGTAACTCACTCTGAGTTTGGGAATATGTCAAATAATACTTCTGGAAGAAAGAGGTGAATGTTGCTTTTTAAAGGATAGATAGAAATTTGCCTGATAAGGAGTAAGTTAGGGAAAGATGGCAATGGCTTTTTTAGGCAGAAGCAAACATGGTTAAAATCATAGAAATGTGTAAGGTTGTATTTTATTCACAGATCTGCATGTTATTTGTCCTGACTGAGGTGGTGGCTATGAGATTGGGAACATTTTAGCAGGAGTCATAAAATGAAGGCCCTTGTAAATCAAGCTAGATTGTGGGGACTCTTCTTCAGAGGAATTCAAAATAGAAATTGCATGTTTTGCACTTCCATATTTGAGTTTTTGAAAGCTCATTGGCAGTGGTGTGGAGGGCAGATTGAAAGGTGGAAATGGAGAGAGAGGCAACAGTTGGGGAGACAAGTTAAAAAACTGTTGAAATAGGACAAGTATATAAAGTTGAGGTCCTAACTAACCAGGAGAAAGATAGTAGGAATGGAGAAGGGGTAGATTAAAAGGCTTTTAGATTGTAAAATGAACTCTGAATAGAAGGAGCATGGTTTATTGATGAGCAGGAGGTGAGAGAAGAAAAGTAGGACTACTTTTTGGCTTGGTCAACTGGTGAGATTGTTACCACTATCTCAATTCTGCAGTACCATTAGACTTTCTTGTTCAGTGTTAAGAGTCATGTAATTTCAGTTATTCATGGTATATGTAACAGATGGAGGTAATTATAAAGAAAGTATTTGGAAATTCATGCCTTTATGATAGACCCAACTTCCCCCTTTTTTGTTCCCCAGTAGGGTTTGTTTTGTTTTATTTTATCGTATTGTATTTTTCTTTCTTTCCCAGATTTGGTAGACAAAGGTACCCAGAGGGTTAATAGCAGATTGTTTCCCCCAACTGTGTATCACTGGGTTTGTGGAATTAGAGTCATAATACAGTAAGATTAAGACATTTGATGTTTTTATGATATTTTGACGTGGTTTTATTTCTTAATATCCTAGCATAAAAATACAATTGTCTTCGAAGATGATTACAATCAAATTCTCATTCCAACCCAAAATTGTTAACATTATAACAACATAGAATTTTATTATTTAGAACCTAATTACTGTTGTCCCCCTTACCTATGGAGCGATATGTTCCAAGACCTTTAGTGGGATCCTGAAACAGCAGGTAGGACTGAACCTTATATATACATGTTTTTGTCAACAAAAATAGTCAAACTCTGTAAAATAATTTAGCTGGAAGTGGTAGCTCATGCCTGTAATTCCAGTACTTTGGGAGGCCGAGGCGGATGGATCACATGAAGCCAGTTCAAGACAAGTCTGGCCAACATAGTGAACCTCCATCTCCTCTAAAAATACAAAAATTAGCCGGGTGTGGTGGCATGCACCTGTAGACCCAGCTACTTGGTAGACTGAGGCAGGAGAATTGCTTGAACCCCAGAGGTGGAGGTTGCAGTGAGCTGAGATTGCACCACTGCACTCCAGCCTGGGTGACAAAGCGATACTCCCATTTCAAAAAAAA